TTTAAATGAGATTTAGGGTGTATAATGTTTTGCTAAGTGCTTTAACATTTGACTTTCATTAAAATCAAGAAAAAGTACGAGAAGGGTGAAAATTAGCCCCACCTCTACATTAATTTTAGTATAAATATTTTCCAACACAACCGACGACTGATTTTGGTCTCGTAAAATGGTCCTTCTAGTTTTTACTACATTTTTTATCTCTTGTAAAAAACGCCACCGCGCATACTTTTTGAGGACAAAAATAATTTTTTCAAAGCTGACTTCCAAAAAATGTTTTTTGTTACAAGTTATGGAGGTGTATAATATCTATTATGCTCTAATAATCTAGTTTTCAGAAATATGGAATTTTATGTTAATAATATCACAAATTATATTTGACAACAAGCTTTATAAAAAGCTTAAAAAAAATAATAAATTTTAAATTAATTTACGTTCAGCTTTATTTTTTATTGATGTGCTCTAACGGACAAACGAAGCACTTTTGCATAAAAATAATTATGTGCATTTAACGTATTTTGATTAAAAAAATACGATTCATTTTCATCCAAATCCATTTCAAAAAATTGAGATATGATTAAAAATACGATTTGGGAATCTTTTAACTAACCAGGACAAGACGCGCAAAATAATAGATGATCGAATCTATTTTCCAAGGCATCTCAGAGTGTCCTTTTTTATCGAATAAAGTAAAAAAAATACCGAGGATGCCATTTAAAAATCAAAAGTTGTAGTCATTTCCGGTGAAACAGGAAGTGGCCAACAACAATGGATTCTTTCACTATATTTTGAAATTAGCATAACTGAATAAAGCAATTAATTCTAGAATTTTCTGCTATCTCACTTTCGAAAAATTTGAAGTCGTTCTTAAGAAAATAAATAAAAACAAAAAAGCCCAGAATAAAAATCCGCACTTTATTTTTAATACGTCACACCTGACATGTTGAAAAGCGGCAACACGGCCGGGTCACCATGCTGACCCACCACCACCTCCACACAAGGCTATTGAACCTTTTCCAATATGGCGGAGTTAGAAGTGCTTTATTTGGCGCGTATTTTAAAACCTGTTTTATTTCTAAATAGACATTTTTTACACAAATGTCGGGTTAGATTACGTAATATTTCACTAATTTTTATAATATACAGGGAGTCTAAAGCTCTCCACAAGTATGGAATTTTTTGAATTATTAGTTTTATGAAAACATCAGTTCGTTACTTTTTATAAAAAGGTCTGCTTTCTCAGAAAATAGGTAGGTAGTGTACTAGTGTGTAAATATTCAAACTTGAGGTAGCAAATATAGGGTGTTCAAAATCATCTGAAAAAGAAATAACCAGAAATGTATAACAGAAAATAGCAATATAAACTAGATATTCAGTTGCAAACACTTACCTACCATAGTTTAGAATTTACTGCACGTTTGATAAATATATACTATTATGGACAGTATAGGAAGTTACTTGTCTTAGTAAAAGCTTTGGTAAATGCTCTTGGAATTATAAACTACACTGGCTTGGGTCAAAAAATATGGAATATTTTTTCTATGTTTTGCAGCATTACACAAATGGGAATAAATTTAAACTATAATAGGTGAGGATAACTAAAAAATATAATATGTGTTTCAAGATTTTATTTAGAAAAAAAAATAAATACCTTTTTATAACGTCATTTCTTTTTTTTGCATAGTTCTTCAATATAATATTGGATATTCTGAACAAGATGGATTTAATAATAAATTCTGACGTATGTGAGGGGCAATTGTGCAACCTAAAAAAAGACTTACATCCAGGCCATTTATATTTTCAAATGTGAATGTTGTCAATATCTTTCTGTGATCTTTTTGATGTAAAAAAGCTTGACTATTCTACCAATATTTTACTTATAGTAAGGTAAGTGTAAGCAGTAGCCATAACTACATCCTCACTAGGGTAACAGATGCTTTGGCCTTTGGCCTTTTTGAGGCATATTTAATGCACTTCTTACCCGAGAACTAGTAGGAGTGAAATTATCTCTTTCAATAGCTGTCAACCATTTTTTACGAAGCTCGTCATTTTTGAGGAATATAAAAGCAGAAACCTTGGGACCCCCTCTATAATTCTCGTGACAATTTGGAACAGAGCATGTAAAAGGTATGCTACAATAAAATGTTAATACCTACCCTTTAATACCTATCTTTTGATTATTGTAAGTAACCATTATAAAGTACTATGCAGACTGGCGGTGAAGGCTTTTTACTCATTTAGGTGTAATATCTTGATAAATACTTCTAGTTCTTACCTTAAAATAATTAATAATAGAGGAGTACGACAAGCACAAAAGTTTGAAGTTCCCTATGTGGAATGTCTGCTTTGGATTTTTATTACACTGTTATTTTATCATAATTTTCTGATCACAACATGCACTGAACACTAAGAACTAAACAAACGTGTTGCAGAAGCACAACAAACTAGAGATAATTAATTATTTCTGGTATGCAATCGGAACGAGAAACCACTACCGGCTTTTCAGGTTAAAGTTAACAATTTACTAATAATGCGCTGCCTTCGTCGCCATATTTGCCTTGCCCATATCATGTTGATTGGCCTTGAGTTGAGGTGGTGCTGGTCAAATCAAATCGCAATGTTGCCAGTTGTTGGCTGGCGCACGAGCACGGTTCTGCAATGTGATTGGGCGTATTTTTCATACATCATCAATTGGCACTTTAAAATTATTTCAAATTAAAGCAATTTTGAGGGCCTATAAAAAAGTTATTCAATGTCATGGAACTATTTTTTTTGGATAAATATACTGAAAATAGTGTTCTATTTCAGATTTTATCCTTGAATTGGGTATATCATTTTTTGTGTAAGAGCCCATGAATATGTCAATCAATCCTAATTTATGTCATAATACATATATATAACATACGTTTTTAAATCAGAAAAAATAAAAAGTTATAGAGATGAAAGACTCTTGAGAAACATCCGGTATATTATAATCGTGGCCCTAGAAAAATAATCGCTGCGATTGAATCGCAGTTTGCTATTTTTTTGCTCACCTCTAGTTCTATGTCCACGGAATATTGGGACACCATCCTGTATATGGGATATTACTTTTTATTTTATTTGCAAGGTGTGAATTATTGTTAAAAAATTATTTGAAACGCTTGAAAAAAATTAGCATGTTCTATTCGGAGTAAAAATGTAATTTTTACTCCTAATAAAACAATACCGGGTGCGTCTCAAAAGTGGCCCACACCTATAACTTTTTTATTTTTCCAGTTAAAAAAACGAGATTTGATATGTTAGTATATGACATAAATTAGGAGTAATTGACGTATTCAATTGTTTTGGCTCACTTCCTGTTTCACCGGAAATGACTACAACTTTTGATTTTTGATACCCTCGGTATTTTTTTGCTTTATTCGATAGAAAATATCACTCTGAATTGAATGACATATCATATGTCAACTTTTAACATTTTCGCATATGGTTTAGGTATTTAAAATTATAACTTGCAGTTCGTAACGAAAATTTGACTCGAAATACCAAGTGAGTGGTATCAAATTATTCGTAAAAAATGCTTTTTCCAAATATGCTAATGAGCCACCCTCGTTCCATTTGAAAAAAACTGAGATATGATTAAAAATATGATTTGAGCATTTTTTAACTGGCTAGGACAAGACACTAAAAACATTAGACGATCATATCTATTTTTCCAAGTCTCCTTGATTAAGAATTAGTGTTTTTAACATAACCGTGGCACTCTAAATTGAAATTTAAAATATATTTTTTTATTAAGTGAGAATGTTAAAAGTTGACATATGATATGTCATTTGATTCTATTCAGAATGTCATTTTCTATCGAATAAAGTAAAAAAATTGGCGCCGGGAGACACGTATATATAGCCGCCCATACTAAAATATGTTAATAAAAAGTTGGTAGTTAGGTAGTTCTTTTAGATTCAAAGTAAAGGAATTTTTTCAATTTTTTTTTATCTCAAAAACTGCGACTGACTGATTTTGATGTTATTACAAATTTTGTTGCAAATATTATTCCTAATCTTAAATTGAAAACCGCGTTTCCCTAGATACTGTAATTTCGGAGTTATGATTTTTTAAAATTTTTAACCCCCTCCCATACCCCCTCCCATACGCCCTTCCATACCCCCTCCCCTACCCCCTTACCAACCCCCACCCCCATCAAAAACTAATGGCCAGATTCTCGGGTGCCACAGTATTTTTGTGCCAAATTTGGTTAAAATCGGTTTAGCGGTTTTTGAGTTATCGTGTTACAGACGGACAGACAGACACCATGAAAATATTTTGTATTTAGGTCACTTATGACCCAAATAACTCATTTTGAGTTAAATTAAAAAAAAACTTTTTTTTTGCCGATCTTAATAGCCTACCATACCTATTGGTATGGTCGGCTAAAAATACCGAGGGTGCCATTTAAAAATCAAAAGTTGTAGTCATTTCCGGTGAAACAGCACCCGGTATTATGATCGTGGCCCTAGAAAAATAATACCTTGTTTATAAATAAATAAAATTAGAGAGAAAATTCAATCCCAGTTTACTATAAACTCCGAAATCACGGTCCGAATCACAGAAATCACGGTCCCAGTTTACAAAATCACAATCGCCCATATTTAGTTCTATGCCTACGGAATATTGGGACACCCTGTATATAGGACATTACTTTATATATTATTTGCGAGGTTTGAATTATTGTTAAAAAATTATTTGTAACGCTTCAAAAAAAAGCATGTTCTATTAAAACAATATAGGTATATACTATTTTTTGACATAAAACTTTTGATTTGAAAGAAAAAATACTTCGCTGTTTTGAGGTTGACATATCTGTCACTTAGTCCTTTCAATACTTGAGCGCAATTCTCACAAAAAATACTGTTCAGTTGAGAAAGAAAAACTAGTTTAAGTTCCCAAACAAGATTGGTGTAAAATTATCGCTAGCGATTATCCGTAATCTACGGATTTTGTCAAGTTCCCAGCAACGTCGCGGTTCGGGACCTTCACGAACGGCCCGAGTCACATTCTAATAGCGTGCGCGAGCGTATTATCGCGAGCTGGTGTATCCCAAATTAAATGTGCTCGTTTTACATAACCTGACGATATGACTGGAAAAAATTAAGTGCCCAGATTTAAAAGGAATAGTTACTTAACCCGTAAGTAGAATTTTCAATTTTTTTTTTCAATTTTTTCGTTACATTTTCACTCATCTTTCCGTGATTAATTGGGATTGGCCGAAAGGTTTTGACATTGACATTGAAAAAACAATTAAATAACCCTATTTGGTTAAAAAGAGCCGCTCATTTCTCTTCTAAATTCAGTTTTGAGTGTTTTATACCAAAATTTTTAATTTTTTTACTACTTTTTCACACATTTTCTGTGATTAGTTGGGATTGGCCGAAAGATTTTGACATTGACATTGAAAAAACAATTAAATACCCCTATATGGAGTTCATTTGTTTGCTAAATTCAGTTTTGAGTGTTTTATATACAGAAATTTTTTAATTTTTTACTACTTTTCACACATTTTCTGTAATTACTTGGGGTTGGCCGAAAAATTTTGATATTGACATTGAAAAAGCATTTAAATACCCCTACTTAGCTAAAAAAAACCGTTAATTTCTTTTCTAAATTCAGTTTTGAGTGTTTTATACAGAAATTTTTAAATTTTTCTCTACTTTTTCACACATTTTCTGTGATTACTTGGGATTGGCCGAAATATTTTGACTTTGACATTGAAAAAACAATTATTAAAAACCTCTATTTGCAGTTTTGGGTGTTTTATACCGAAATTTTTATTTTTTTCACTACTTTTTCACACATTTTCTGCGATTTTTTAATTTTTTTGCTTCCTTTTCATTCATTTTTCAGTGATTAATCCGGATTGGCCGAAATCTTTTGACATTGACATAGAAAAAAACACTTAAATAGGCTCACAATCAGGGTATTATACTTCTAAATTCGTTTTTGAATGTTCGATAAGTTATTTTTAATTTTTTCACCATATTTTTCACTTATTTTTTCATGATTAATTCGAAATGGTCAACATTTTTTGACACTGACATTGAAAAAACCTTTAAATACTTCTAACTGGCTAAAAATAGGCGGTCATTGCGTTTAAAAATTCTTTTTCGAGTGTTCGATATTATGATTTTACAAAATAATACCGTATAATCGAAAAAAAACGGCGTCAATGATGGCTGGGGAATGACAATCGATGATAATTTTGGCAAAAGTTGACATTATATGTAATTTTATTCAGAGTGTAATTTTCTATCGAATAAAGTAAAAATATACCGATGCGATGGTGCCATTTAAAAATCAAAAGTTGAAGTCATTTCCGGTGAAACCGGAAGTTACCGAAAACAATTGAATATGTCAATCAATCCTAATTAATGTCATATACTAACATACCAAATTTCGTTTTTTTATCAGAAAAAAAAAGTTATAGGGGTGAGTCACTTTTGAGACCCACAAAAAATTCGATGTACAGAGTACTAGAAAATAATCTGTGTAAATTTCAAGAACAAATAAATCCATACCTACTTAATTTAACACTTTTTATTTAAAGTAGATATCTCAAAAATTAATTAAATAAAAAAAAGACAAATTGCACAATAGCACCAAAAATTTTTACATGTATGTGATAAAGTTTAAATTTACTTATCTGTTTAGTAGGATATACTAAATTGAATTCACTATCATAGGAAATCTATGGTCTTTTTTTATATAATACATACCTATACCTATATGTAGATACTATTTTAAGAATATAACTAATTTATTTTTAACCAGATGTTTTTTTAAATATATGTCCCTTTATTTATAACTTTAGTTACATACATATGCAGTACTTACACACAATATAAATTTAACTCTATTGTATAAATCAGATGACCTTGAGAGAAAGTTCCTTTTTAGATAATATAGTAATTTAAATAGCTGTAATTAATTTAGCTTATTAAGAAGATTAGACATATTATAAAACAGTTTTTTACATAGTCATCAATTTTTTTACGTTTTTTTTATAGTAATTAAAAAGTTCTAATTATGTGACGTATTTTTTTACATTCATTTAAAAAAAAAATATAATAATAATTTAGTAGTACAGTAGTAGTAGAGTACAGATACTAATATATTGTCGATATAGTTTGTTTATTTCATTAAAAAATAAAAAAAAACTGTTTAAATATTTGTTAAAGAGGACCAGTTAATATGATTCCAGTATTCAAACTACATTAATTGACTGTTTGCGTTGATTAATAATAATTACTCCAAATACTAAAAAACTGAATTATGTATGTATTAGACAGTGTGGTAAAAAGTAACACCTTAAAAATGATATTTAATTTTTTGACAAATGCTTATTTATAACAACAGATACGTTCATTTTCATAACTTATTATTATATTGATTTCTGATTCAAATCCACACTTATTTAGAATAATTTATTAACGAACACAATTAAGTATGTAGTTAATTAGTAATTGGGCGGAAATACTGGTGGTATATTTCATTAATGGTATACTCTTTTATAAAGATTTAAATAGTTTTCTTTTTGCATACAAATGGACTAGTAATATTATCGTTTTACTAAAAACGATAATCTTACTAGCCCGTACATTTTGTACATTTGTTGTTTTAAAAACAATCTAAAATGTCAATATTTCATATAAGAAAATGCATTTTCTACGAAAACTTGAAGGAATAGGTAAAAAGTGGTACAATACAATTTGATAGACAATTAAATCGTGCATCTGCTTCTCATAAAATATACAGGGTGTTCTATTTAAATTAAATATATTATTGCCGTTTAAAGCTAGTAATTATTTAAAATAAATTTTTAGACACTCTGTATAAGGTACTATAATTTTTATTATTGCAACACAATAACTGATCAATAAATAAACTTCAGTAAATATTTAGTAATATATAAAATAATTTAAAAACCTTGATATCCTCGGAGAAATGAAGCCTTAAAATTTATACTGCAATTTCGCAAAATTGAAAATATTTCAAAAACGGTAAGGTTTAAGTGTAATAAACCTTAATCAAATATACCTTTATTTTAATCGTAGAAACTAAAAATGCAATAATATACAGGGTGTTCCATTTTAAAAAATAAAACTTTGATATTTTTTATTTATTTGGGACACTCTGTATCTTGTAAAAATAATTTTAAATTGTAGCTCTAACAGTCCTTCAACGAACTCAAATCTTACAATTTGTAAAAATCTAATCGTTTAGCTACAATACTCCGTGTCGTATGTGGTGAACAACCCTGTATATTTTAATTAACATTTCTTCTTTTTGTATCAATTGTATACTATAACATCAATCAAAATTATTATTATATTCTGAAGAATTAATATATTTTTTATTAGAATTTCACCAAATTATCATAATTTATCAAGGAATCATAATTATTTATACATACGAGTATAATCATTATTAATACTTAAATATGAAGTTATCTATGTTATATGTATACTCAATATTATTATTTAATATTTTGTTATATTGTATCGTTTAATACCTATCATTATTACTAATAGCACAATACTTAATATTTTTTCAAAAATTGTGTTTAGATTTGTCATGTTTCTCTACCATTTTCAAGATATTGTTTGAATGCAATACATATAAATTTATTTAAACAATACTTATTAAGTTATCCTTTCTAGTAAAAAACCAGCTTATATATCAGGCAGGAAGTTAAATAAACTGTGAAGTACCGGGTACCCTATAATATTTTATTTTTTATTCTCATTTCATTTAATTTATATTGAATTTTGCTTTAATAACTAATAGAAAGAAGGCTTTTTATATTATATTATGCATTTTTTTGCAGGGCAGATAGAAAATAAAATCAAAATGGCCGCGAAATTTGGGAAATTGGCAGTTGGTGGTTTGACAGGTACTGTAGGAGCAGGTTTGGCAGCCTATTTCTTTCTGAGCGAGTACAATGAAAACGTAAGTTTTAGGATTAGTCTGTAGTTTTAGAAAATCTCATTCAAATTCGGAAATTCGGTTCTTAACATTAACATTTTTTGATTCTAAAAAAACGTATTAGTAGTTGTATGTCCACGAAATATTGGGACACGCTGTATGTATTAAAAAATAAATAAATATCAAATACGAAACCTGATCTGGACCTTTTTGGAATAGTAAAAATATTTAACAAATATTGATTCACTTTTACTGTTATAAAATCAAAGAAATTTTTAATTGTTCCAGTTTCCTTGAACACACTGTATTAAATATACTAAAATTATATCAAAAAGTTAAAGGAACATGTGGATTATCAAAATAAATAAATCAATCAAGGAAATATTGAGTAAAACGAGGATTTGTTATTTATTAAAGCAAGAAATTCGTGAATGACAAATATATAGCTATATGAAAAGATTATTGAAAAGATTATTTCAGAAATTTGAAATATTATCTATTATCACCAAACATTTCGGAAAATATGTTTAAAAAAAGCGATTTATACTTGTGATATACAGGGTGTTCCTTAATGAACATGCACCAAACCAAAACTGTAGCTGTTAAAACAACGCAAGGAACTCCACAAGGTGGAGTAACCTCCCCTTTGCTGTGGAGCTTGGTGGTGGATGAACTACTAGATGAATTAACTCTAGCGGGAATACACTGCATTGGGTATGCAGATGACATAGTCATGATCGCTCGGGGGAAAAGGCACCCTGTGTAATATTATCCAAAGACGACTCCGTATCACTGAGAGATGGTGTAGGACTGTCGTGCTGAGTATCAACTCAGACAAAACCGCGATAGTGCCATTCACCAGAAAGCGAAGTCTGAAAAACTTGAAAAGAATTCAACTAGATGGAAAGGTAATACTGCCAACACAGGAAGTTAAATATCTGGGAATAACCCTGGACAGTAAACTCCTGTGGAACAGGCATATTAAGAACACTACCAGCAAAGCCATAAAGGCTCTCATGATATGCAGAAGACTGGCCGGAAATAGATGGGGCTGCTCCCCTAACACTTTGCGCTGGATGTATACCATGATAGTAAGACCCATGATTACTTATGGAGCAGTTGCCTGGTTCACAAAACTAGAGCAACGGACGGCAAGGCTAAACTTGTGCAAAGTCCAGAGACTAGCATGCGTTTGTATCACAGGAGCCATGAAAACCTGTCCAACAGCAGCAATGGAGGTCATTCTAGATCTAACACCACTGCACATTGTCATTGGTAGAGATGCCCATGCGACAATGATTAGAATGGTCACTAACGGAATTAGAACTGGGAGAATTGTCAGATCAGGGGCTTGGAACACCCTCAAAAAGGAAATACCACTCCTGAAACTCCCAGTGGACGATATGCCAAGAACGTACAACTTTGAGAAAATCTCAATGTAGTATTGAACAATAAAAATGATTGGAAGAGCGAAACGCTTGCCCAGCAGTTGAAAGACCATACCATAACTTGGTATACTGATGCTTCCAAGACCAATACGGGAACAGGGATCGGAGTATTTGGGCCGAGAGCTAAATACTCCGAACCAATGGGCACTTACCCTAGTATCCTACAGGCAGAAATCTACGCTATCGAAAGATGCGTACAACTTATCTTAGATAGGAACTATCGGAAACAAGAAATAGCCATCTTGTCGATAGTCAAGCAGCGTTAAAGGCGATCAACTCAGTATCAATCAATTCGAAATTGGTCAAAGAATGCATAGAGAAGCTGAATAAATTAGGCAAAGAAAACAAAGTCCTCCTACACTGGGTGCCTGCTCACCAAGGGATAGAAGGCAATGAAAAAGCAAATAATCTAGCTAGGAAAGCAGCGAACACTCCACTAACTGAACCAGAACCGTTCTGCTTTCCAAGTGGTAACCAACTCAAGGCGGAACTCAAGAACTTGGAAGATTCCATCCGCAACCTGGAATGGAAATTTTCCAATGGTCTAAGACACTCGAAGAAGTTTCTGAGGGCTTATGATCAAGAAAAATCACAGATCTTCCTGGGTCTGAGTAAGAACAATCTTCGGATTGTCACGGGGTTTTTAACAGGACACTGTCTCCTCAATGAACACTTCAGTAGATTGAAACTAAGAAGAAACGGCGAATGCAGATTCTGTGGGGAAGATGGGGAAACACCAGTACACCTCATCACTGAGTGCGCCGAGACGACAACCATTCGTGCCATGAATTTTGGTACGACTGATATTGGAGATGGAGAACTACCCTCTATAAAACCGTCCCAGATACTGGCTTTTGTCAAAGCCCAGGCACTGTATGATGAGTTATGATTCAAGAAAGGGGGACACAATGGATCTGTAAGGTCGAAGTGATTAACCCCCCTCCCACTCATTCTAAAAAAAATTCTAATTCTAATGAACATGCTAATATTTAAGAGGGTAATTATTCTTGGGCATATTTTAAGAAAAAAAAACTTGATATCTGTCCTAAAAAAATAAAGTCCTCCTACTCTGGGTCCCACCCTACCAAGGGATAGAAGAGGTAACGAAAAAGTAAACCACTGGAGGCCATTGACCATGATATAGCCGACCGCGGTTCGGATTCCGCGTTAACAAAATAGAGTCCGTCCAGATTAGTCTTACCAACAGAAAGGAGACGTTAACTTAGAATATTTATATTTTTCTTTGGATGTTTCAGTGGCCAGCAGTTCAGGCACACCAAGTGACAGCAAGACCAAAGCGAACGCTTCCGACCAGAGCCGAACAACTGCGATCGCTGGAAACCGACCAATTCGACATCGTAATCATTGGCGGAGGTGCCACAGGGGCAGGATGTGCCCTAGATGCTGCCACGAGAGGGCTGAAAACGGCCTTAATAGAGGCGGACGATTTTGCCAGTGGTACTAGCAGTAGAAGTACCAAGTTGATCCATGGAGGAGTACGGTAAGTTCATTATCGAGCAATCTTCTATCATTTTTTAAAATAATTTCTACAATACATTCTTTTTATATTATTTTTAGGTATCTCCAAAAAGCAATAATGCAACTAGATTATGAACAATATCGCATGGTTAAAGAAGCTCTACACGAACGCGCAGCCATGTTGCAACAGGCACCTCACTTAGCCCATCCATTGCCCATCATGCTTCCGGTATATCAGTAAGTATATCTTTTGTAAAAGCCTATTTACAGTCTCAGTTAATTGCCGCACCGTCTTTTTTTCAAATATTAAGGGAATATGATATGATGGGGTTTCTGTGCCAGAAACACTACGACCTGTAGAATCTGTAGATTGTAGATTGTATGGGATGGGGAAGTTAATTATCGCGACGTTATAGATCTATTGGGTCCCATTTTCTTGAGTTATAACCTATGATACAGTATCAGGGCTTTGACAAAAGCCAGTATCTTAGACCGTTTTACAGATGATAGTTCTCCATCTGCGATATCAGTCGTACTAAAGTTCATGGCACGAATTGTTGTCATCTCATCACTGAGTATGTTCTGGTGTTTCCACATTTTCTTCACAAAATCTGCATTCGCCGTTGTTTCTTAGCTTCAATTTACTGAGGTGTTCATCGAGGAGACAGTGTTCTGTTAAAAACCCTGTGACAGTGACAGAAAATTGTTCTAACTTAAATCTTACTTAAGAAAAGAAAAACTTTGTTTTTAAACGGTTTTATTTAGCTCGACCCGTACGGTATTTATTTATTTGTTTGTTTATTTGGGTCAAAATTAGAAATTGAAATTTAAGTACCTTCCTGTTGTCAGATTGATCTTAAATTTGGTACACACCTTTAGTTCCGATGACAATACAATATAGTAATATCAATAACATTGTAAATCTAAGATGGCCGCCGGTACAAAATGGCGGATTTCATATTTTTCCACAACCCCCTCAATATGGGTATGAAATGAAAGGGCTACACTAGTAGAATACTGTGATTATGACAAAATTTAAAATCCAAGATGGACGTCGTTACAAAATGGCGTATTAGGTGAGGGCATGAGTAGTCGTGTCCAGAACAGTTGTGTCCAAGATTGTGTGACGTTAGAAGGACAGATAAAAAAAATAGGTGATTAGATGTACCTACGTAGTTAGCGGTAGCTTTACCACCCAAGTTAAGGTAATAGGTTAAAGCGTGCTGAGGACTGTATGGCATTAGGGTGGCTAAAAATGTAATGTCGCAAGCGTTTTCCCCGCAAGATTGGGCGCCTCTTGTTGTATATTATAGCCTTGCCCCTCTACTGGACCTCTGGGGGGGTCGACCGTTAAAATGTCCATTACTCGTGGGCACAACATGGAAACAATAAATAAAAAAACAAACAAACATAAAAAATCGGTAAAAAAACTTTTAAGTTAAACGGTTTTATCTTATGTGCACTGAAAACTAGAAAATAATAATAACAATTAGGTATTTTGAACTTCTAGTTCAGAAATATTTTAGTACTAGGCAGAATAGCTTTTAGGCATATTAGACTAAAATAAAAACGCGGGGCCCATTAACTATTGCTGTAATACTTTCTTCTATACTAAGTGTGGATTGCATCGACTTACTATAATCGTAACTGGAGATTTTGACAATCAATAACCAGCCGTGGCGGCTTCACCAGCGAACGCCGAGCTCATGATCTACCAAAGTATAAAGATATGCTTTGCCATAGGTAGGATTTCAGAGGGGCCCCACGTTTTTATTTTAGTCTAATATGCCTAAAAACTATTCTGCCTAGTACTAAAATATTTCTGAACTAGAAGTTCAAAATACCTAATTCTTATTATTATTTTGTAGTTTTCAGTGAACATAAGATAAAACCGTTTAACTTAAAAGTTTTTTTACCGATTTTTTATTCTCATATATAAGATATATAAATACATACATGGCCAAAATCATTGCATATAACGATATTTTTATTTTATTTTGGACCTAATATGATTCTTTTTATATTTTTGGACACATTGGCTTACTACACGACTAACTAATATAAAATTAAAAATGTAAGGGCAACTAGTTTATTTCATAATGAGTGAAAATCAACAAAAACAAATTTCATTTTAAACAGAAAATATTGAAAACAATTTTGATTATTTCTCACAACTAATAGTCTGCATTGCCTCCTCGAGCCTCAATGCAAGCTGCGAGACGACGTGACATGCTCTCAATTAAGTTGTCCAGAAGATGTTGAGGAAGTATGCTCGATCACATTCATATCTGGAGACATCGGTGGCCACCACAGTTTTCTTATACCCTCTTCTGCACAAAATTCGCGAACCGCTAAAGTGCGATGGGGAGGAGCATTATCGTCCATGTAAACAAATTCATCCCCCACTGCCCCTCGAAATGGACTCACAATAGGCTCTAAAACGTCTCTAAGATATGAGGCACCTGTCATTGTGCCATCAATAAAAACAAGAGGAGTTCGAGCTCCATGCATTATACCATAATGCTTCCTCCTTGAAACGGGACACAGGGTTGAGCTGCATTCAAGCCTGCTCGTCTTCCAGATGCTCGCCAGACCAAAGTTCGTCGCGAGTCTGACACTAGGCCTATTCTTGTTTCATCACTGAACATGACGAAATTCCAATTAGGTCCATTTGCTCTCATCTCCTCAACCCATTGTAGTCGCGTAATTTTGTGACGTAAATTAAGCTTCAGAACACGTAGAAGCCTCATTAAATGTAATCCTCTGTCATGGAGTCTTCTTGCTATGGTCTTTCTTGAAACATTTACTCCTTCAAAGCGAGCTAACTCATTTTTAATAGCAGTACTAGAGGGCAGGGGATTGTGTCGTGCAATTAGGGATATTTGACGGTCTTGCACAGCAGTAGTAACTCTCTTTCTACCTCTTCCAGGCCGGTCTGTAACCTCGTTTGTCTCTCTCCTCTATTTTTTTTAATATTCGCGAAACATCGCTTGGTTAACTCCTACAATTTCAGCTATTGCAACGTGCCGGTATGCCTGTTGAGACAGTGTTACTATTCTGACTCTATTAAACTGTGAAATAATGTTTCCAGGTATTTTAAGGCCAAAACAATGGTCAAATTTCTTCTGAAACCTAAGAGACCACAAATCGAAATGTGCAAGAATTTGAATTGAATGTTTTGTATATAATAATATTGGGTCTGAACGATAAACATTGTTTACCATATCCATTTTAACCAAAAAATGTTTATTACAGATTATCAAAGCTATGTATAAAAAAGATTCTTTAAATTCATTTCATGCAATAATTTTGGCCATGTGTGTAGACCTTAAAATTTGTATTTTCATACTTTTTTATAACTCTATTTATATAAACTTTGAGAAAGACACTAGAGGCATTAAAAATGTTTAAAATAAAATTTATTTAGTCAAAATATATACTAAAAATATATTAATGTCTCTATTTTTATTATTAATTATTTATTCTATTTTCCTATTTTCTTTAATATATCTTTCTTGTTCTTCTGGAGTTAAAATAAAATTAAAATGGACACACCTAAGGAATTGGTAGAACTGTGTGATACCCATGAATACATTAGCGCTTAGTAACTGATAGTTAACGGGATAAATAACCACCGAGTATCTAGACCTACAAGTAGTAATATAGAAAAAGTTATTTTATTATACCGGCTCAGAACATTTTAAAAGTGTTTTTTATTGACTTTAGTATTGATTTTAGAAGAAACTTTTAATGGAACTTTGAAACTCTTCCGTTAAGTCGTTTTTAAGTTATTTACAAAATTATGTTCTTAAAAAAGTAATTTGTGCAACTAGAAAAAAATCTAAATCTAAAATTTCCAGTACGATAGCTTCCAATAAGATTTACAAATAGCGGTAGAGAGTTAAGTTTCCCTAATATATTATAAAGAATTTATTAGTGGCTCGCAGAATAAAACAAGAGACAGATAGCAGTATACTTTTAATAATTTTTTAGTTTCTTTTATTATCAATCATGGCCTACTAATAAATATGATCTTTTGGTATTTTTTTTTAATATTGCAGTAAATAATGAAAATAAATATAGAGTGATATATATTTTTGAGAAGCTTATGGTAAACCAGATCATATAATTTATAAATATACAGGGTGTTCCATTTAAGAAAACATAACTTTAGTTCATATCTTTAAAAATATTTTTTTTCGTAGAATAGCACACTACGCCATTGTATTCTAAGTAAAAAGTTCTACAATAAACAGTTTTCACCTTCTCGATACCTTTAACAATAACAGAGATACAGGGGGTGTCCCAAATTGCAAAATTTTGAAAAAGACCCTGTAGTTTAGAAGCGAAGAGGGCTATGCAAATTTTTTTTACGGCATATTCCGTTTGACAAAAAAGTGGTACAGGTTTGTGCAAACTGCACTCTTCTATCTTCACTAATAACGGAGATACCGTAGGATTTCAACCAAAATGGGACTCTGTACAGGGTGGGTCAAATTCGACGCTTTTAAATGGAAACACCCTTTTCTATAGGAGATAGACAAAAAACTAATATCGGTGTCTGGAGCTCAATTTTTGTCAAAAAATGATGGTGAAAACCGCATACCGATATCTGTTACCGTTTCGGAGTTACGGGGTGCTTTTGAAAAATATGCATTTTTAACAAATGGCTGTAACTTTTTTACTATGGAAAATTTTGTATTTTTATGAAAACATTTCCAAAGCACCGTTTTACATAGAATTTAATTGTTTATGTATATTTTTTTTTAAATTAATAATTTAAGGATTATCAATAGAAAATTTGATTTTTTATATGGGACACCCTGTATATTTTTAATTTATTGAAAATACTTAAAAATTACCTTTCCAAAAATATAACACACTTGATATTTTGCTCGATTCCTCTTCGAGATATAGAGTATATAAAAATTCGCCGGCTTTAAATAAGTAGGCTTTGAACGGCACCGGCTGTAATGCAAAAAAAATCTAGCGGTGAGCATCAATTAAAACGAAAATAATATTTGCTAGGAGAGATGCAGAATTTTATAACAATTTAAAATATATTTAACCAACATCAACACATTTAAACTATATCTAATAACAATAAAAATAAATGAATGAGCAAACAAAGACATGAGATTTTGCTAGCGGTGTTCGACATATCTTCTGTTATGGACAGACCGGGCAGTTTTTGAATATTTCTCGCGGAATTCATTAACTCAGTGGGGGTGAAGGACACCCTCTCATAACTGCTAAGTATTTCTAATTCTTGTCTAGATTATACGGAATAATAAGGAAGCTTTATTCTTCCGCAAATATATCCATAGGATTAGATCCGTGGGCACTAAGTCAGGCGGCCTCGACGGCCAACGATTGGGATCTTGGTTAGCTATTCAATTATTCTTGAAATTGGCTGCAAAAATTTGCTGATATCAGCGTTCAGAGGCGGTGCGTCGTCTTGCTGGAAAAATATGTTTTCGAGTTCCATTAAGGGCATATCATCAATGAGGGGTCCAAAGCCTACTGGTTAAAAGTGGCTAACTTTTAAAAATTCTGTATTTCGAAGAGGATTATAACAAAATATCAAGTGTGCTATATTTTTGGAAAGGTAAATTAAATTCTTTTCGGTTAATTAAAAATATAGAGGGTTTCCCAATAAAAAATCAATTTTTCTGTTGATAACTCTTAAATTATTAATTTTAAAAAAATTATATTTAAACCATTAAATTCTACGTAAAAAGGTGCTTTGGAAATGTTTTCATAGAAATACAAAATTTTCCATAGTAAAAAAGTTACAGCGATTTGTTAAAAATGCACATTTTTGAAAAACACCCCGTAACTCTGAAACGGTAACAGATATTGATGTGCGGTTTTCACCATCATGTTTTTGATGAAAATTGAGCTCCAGACGCCGATATTAGTTTTCGTCTATCTCCTATACAAAAGGGTGTTTCCATTTAAAAGCGTCGAATTTGACCCACCCTGTACAAGGACTCTTTAAGGACCTAATTTTATAATTAATTTCACAACGGCTTAGTTAAACAGTTTCAAAGTTGATAGGTAGCCTGATCCTGATCAGTACAGTCTATGAGCGTCGAATTCGAGCGCTCATCATTGGGATTTCGAAAACCGTAAGAAATACAGGATCGGTTAAATAGAGGCAAAGTTGCGCAATTTGATGCTCAATAAAATGCCGTATTGCATTTTGAAAAATTCCGAATACTTCCGAATATATTCGAAAAAAAAACACGGAATTTTCAATTTTGTTCTCTATTGTTTCCTGGCTTTATTTGTTAAGATAACTTAAAATGAAAAACACATTTTCATGGCCACTTTTTCTGCTCTTTAACTCCATCATCCACTTAATTTTTTTTAAATACGGACCTGATTTTTTTTTTCAATTTAACTAAATCCTTTCATCACTCTTAAAACACTATATATAGTCACTTTGATATTTGCCGACGTTTCGTACAGAAAATTCCATTACCAGAATATTTTATACAAAAAAATAAAAAATAAAAGGCTGTACTTAAACTACCGTTAAACGGTAGCTTACTAAAATGCCGTTAATAGGTATCACGTCGTTGATGTGACGCACTTGACGGCTTTATGAAATATAGGAATTTTATAAGGACTAACCAACGCTACCCACCCCACCAAATAACCAACTTAACCAACGCAACTAACCTCGACACTGATAAAAAATATAAAAAACAAATATAAATTAGTAAAAATCAACCAACCCCACCAAATAACCAACTAACCAATGAATTAACACCCTCCAAATAACCACGCTAACCAACCCGCCAAATAACTAAACCAATCCAAATAAAAAGAGTGAAACCAATGCAATAAGATCACGCTATAAGCAAAAAAAATATAAAAAAGTCTTGCTAGGCGTGAGATTTGAACCCGGATCATTCGCTTACGAAGCGATAGCCTCAGCCACTGACCCACAGGTGCTCTTGCAGAAAGCTTAAGGCTAGGCATTACTTTCCGCCGACATGAACGACGTCACAACATCTATTAACGGCATTTTAATAGACTACCGTTTAACGGCTGTTTAAGTACATCGAAAATAAAAATGTAATATGGCATTTTATTGAGCATCAAATTGCGCAACTTGGCCTCCGACTTAACCGATCCTGTATCTCTTACGGTTTCCGAAATCCCAATGATGAGCGTCGAATTCGAGCCACCCTGTACAGTACTTTAAAAAATGCCATTAAAAGATTCTACTAAAATCAATAGGGGGGCTAATAAAAGACACGAATGTTTTGAATAAAAATAATATCTTACCAAATCAAGCCAGTTATAGCAAGGGAACTGCTTTGTCCTAAACTGATCTGGTCAGCTGGTCTATTTAAGTCAGCTATGCCAGCTATAACTATGCTCCATTTCACTATGGGGGCCCAGAAAAATATTGTTTTTGGGCCTGCCACGTGATGCCACAGTCTATTACTTCTATCCGATAAATGTATGCTTGCCTTTTTATCTAGATATTCCATAAATTGCTTGTGATATTTCGAGAAATGCCGTTGTGTTATTTTCATCATTTGTGTTATTTCCGAGTTATATTATTTTGTGTTATTCCTATGGTGTTATTCTGTCATTTTGACGGACAGTCCGTTAAGGCCATAGATAAAAGAAAATAATCTACTATTGTTAAGGCTCATTCATACAGGGTCCGGCAATAGTGCTTCCGGCATCTGTAGCTCCTATAATAAACCACTCTATAGGCATCCATTTCTACCGCTTCCAGTTTTTTTCGGTTGGCTTCCGTTATTCGCCAAGTCTCTGCATAAAGTAGACTGCTCTTTACCAGGGTCTCGTATATATTGATCTTCCGTTTCTTCCCTGCTTCATTACTCCAAAATACTCCATTCAGACAGCCAATTGTTCTTCTAGCTTGTGATATTCGTTTTTTAATGTCTTTGTCATCTTTAGCTGTTCTATCAAATATCACTCCTAGATAGGTGTAGTCATTGCAGGCTTCTTTCTATCTCTTCATTTTCTAGATGTACGCTAGATAGTTCTGCACCAATAGGTAGATATTTAGTTTTTCCTGTATTTATTTCCAAACTCCATCGTTGATATTCCTCTTGTAGTTTCCTTGTCATGTACTCCAAATCATCTTTATCGTTGGCCATAAGAACTTGATCATCTGCGAACTGCAGGGTATATAGACAGGTATGTCCCAAATTAATGCCCATTCCATTACATTTTCTCTTTCATTGTCTCAAGGCCTTTGCTACATATATTTTAAATAATGTGGGAGAAACACACATCCTTGTCGTAGACCTTTATTGACAAAGAATCTTCCAGATAATGTGTTGCCTATTTTAATTTGTGATGTCGATTCTTCGTACAAGTTTTTCAGAGCTCTAATTAAGGTGTAGTTAATGTTGGTGTCCTGTAGTACCTTGAATAGTCTGTTAACTGGAACGGTATCATATGCTTTGTGAAGGTCAATAAACATGAGGTGTGTCTCCTGATAGGCGTCAGGTTGGTTCCCTGTCACTTAGAAAAACACATACTTAAATAATATCAACAAAAATAAACAAGAAGACTAACAATAATAATTGAAGATTTTAATACATTTATTTGTTGAAGGTAAAAATGCTAGACTTTTTTGGCTTAAAACCTACATTCTGGCGTTTTAAAAAAGCGACGAGTTTGTGATATTTTGATATGTCAGTCTTTTCCCTTGATTCTAGCATTGTCCGTATCATGCTGTACGTAGCCCAAAGAGTAGATGGCTTTTTCTGCCTTGCCATGTCGCTAAAATATGCCATCAAGGCTGTCTCCGAAGCAATATTATTAGCATTTCTTTCGGCACACCATTTTTCGTATACTTTCGATGTTATTTCATATCGCCCCCTACTTTTCTCTGGAAGTAAACTGGCTTCTGTCCTTTTTGCAGCTTTTGTAAGTTCTGGTGGAGTACCAATATTAAAGTAGTCTTCATTATCCGAACTTTCCGGCAACATTCTGGGGCTTTCTATGTTATATAAATTCGAAAAGCGAACGAGAAATTCAAAACTGTCACTTAGTTGTTTGTTTTACTGTTGAAGGTTTGCGCCATAACAACCACTGGTACCGGTAACGATAGATATGGAAATGCCAAAACAGAAAACGACAAATTTTCGACATATTTATTTTTTTTAATTAATGATTTGGTTGTAAATAAAATCGTATACAAACCTCGGAGGAAAGTTTTCATTATTGTCACGAGATTTAGTTAATCTCTCGACAGTAATGAAACACTTCCCTCCTCGGTATGTAATATCCTATTAATCTAATATCACTAGGAGATTTATTACGTTTGTGTAAAGTACTAAAGCGGCCCATACATTATCAAACAAACTGCGCAACAAAGCGATGCGCAACGCTGCGTTGCACAACTGATTCAGCGGTCCATACACTATCAAACAAGTTGCGCAATAAAGCGATACGCAACATTCCGTTGCACAACTCCATCACCCATGCACTTAGTAAAATTTTGATCAAACTTTTTATTAAAAGTTGTGCAAGAAACAATCATGTCCTCAATTGTCATTGCGTCAATTATTATCGTATATACCCTAGATGATGTCGATGATACCCAAAAACGAAAAAGAAAACAAAGAATTTGGATGAAAGAACTAAAATATTGCATGACGAAGCGCAACACACACATACACTACACAACGCGTTGCGCAAACAGTCCTGTTGCACAAAAGAATTCAAACATTCTTGAAACTCAAACAATCAAACAAATGCGCAACGCATCAAACACTACCATACATTGGCAACTCGTTGCGCAACAGCCTGAGTTGCGCAATTTGTTTGATAATGTATGGGCCGCTTAAGGGCTGGCAAAGGTTAGTCTTGGGTCGAGATTTCCGTATGTAAGAAGAGTACAATGCGTTTATAATGTACTGAACAAAGAGAGAACAGTAAACACGTTGCCAAACGTATGAAATGAATCGAGAAACTGTGCACATTGCTAAGAGACGTGGAAGGGGATATAGCAAATTTGTCGCAGTTGACCGGTCGACCCAATCAGTACCTCTGTCAGTACTTAAAGTTCTAGGGACAGGTGTACATCATGCGTTCAGCTTCACGATTTAATTACGTCTCGTGATACTTTATTTGTTTATTAACGAATCGTTGTAATTTTCCCTATAGCTTGAAAATTTTTAAGTGCAAGCTAGAAACACAGGCATTTTTGGTAAAAATAAGTGGAATTGAGTTGGTTTTCGACGGTGGTCGGGCTATTTAGAAATAATTGATTGTAGTTTTTTTAAAAACATTCTTAATATTTCTGCTGTATTTTCTTCGTAGGCAGTAAGTGAAAATCTTTATCAATAAAAAAATTACACGACTGCTGAAAATTGCTATGCTCTAAAAGTAAATTGATGGTTGTTTACAATTTTTGAATGGAAAAAACAACCTTATCGAATTTTTCTTATGTAAACAAACAAAAAAAAGTTTCAATATCTAAAGTGTTTCTTGAGTTATGGCGTGTTATGTGTTAAAAAGTTGAGTTTTTAAATTATCGCGATTACTGACGTTTTCTCGTTATAAAAAAAATTACACCCTAAATACATAAATGACACCTATAAGATATCCTTATAATTCCATTTCAGATGCTCAGAAACATTTCTAATGATTTTCTCTAGTTATCTTTTCGAAAAAAAAATCTATTAAAAATAAGCGGTTTGCGATAGTGATTTTACTTTACCTGATAGGGAAAGGCGTACCGGCAACGCCGCAGCAGCACTCCGTCGCATTTCTCTCGCTCCGACTTAATAAGATCCCTATGCGATTTACTTCCACACATGTAAATACCGACCCAAGAGTAACAGTTGCCAG